GAGTTTGCACTGTTCAATGCAGTGCATTTGTCTACCGGCTACACGCCGTTCTACGTGAATGGGCTGGCTCACGCTGACGCCGCCATCCCATGGCGCGGGCTTGGTGGGGGAGGAATAGCCGAACTGCTAGCTGATGCCAGCCCCCTCACCATCCGTAAAGAAGTCGATGACTTCTTGTCTACGAGACTGAGTGTCCTACGACACGTTCGCGATGCGATAGCCAGGACCTGCAGAAAGAATATGCAGATAAAAAAGGACGAGGCAAAGTGGAAAACTTTAAGGTCGGGGACCTAGTTGAATAAAACTCAAATAACTGCCTACACATGCAGCCTCTGCTATCTTCAAAACGAAGCTTCGTCTACGGTTTATCGGACCGTTTAAGGTTGTGGCCAAACGTGACCTGGCGTACACGCTAAACCTTGCGAAACGGATGCGCACTCACCCGGTGTTTTACGTGGGCTTGCTCAAGCCGTACCGGGATCCGGCGCAACTGAACGCGGAAGCGTTGGCGCCGGAGTGGATCCTACAGGCCCGCGGCCACCCAGAAGCTGAATCAGCAACTGGTTCTGAGTACGGAATGCAACAACCTCCATTTCCAATGGAGCCAAGTGCTCCACCGTGGCTTGCAACGATGCATTCGCCTGCTCCACGGCTAGGAGTCGCTCCGACAGAGCGCGGTAGTCCTCAAGACGAGGCAGTTGGCGCACGACGTGCTTTAAATCGTCAAGAGCGATCGCACAGCGATATGCTACTTCAGCATGACACTCAGCGGAGTGCCGATCACGACAAACCTCGTCCTCAAGGGCTAACAGAGCATCATGAGTCACCGGGCGGCGGTCGACCCCTTTGTCTCCGCCTGCCACCGACTCTAATCGATGAGAACGGTGACGTCCATTATCACGTGGAACGTCTTGTTGGACGAAGTCGTCACCAGGGTCAGACCCAATATCTTGTGAAGTGACGGGGATATCCCAACTCTGAAAACTCGTGGGGGTTTGAGCCACCACTTCGGCAAGATTGCCCAGTCGCCGTGGACCCTTTTGATCGGAACGATCAGGACGTTCCGCATCATCAGACGCCCCGCGCTTCCCGGCAAATGCCAGGGAAGGCGTCGGGCCATGAGATGAGCTCAAGCAGTGGCCCTGAGCTCTTGCGGTCGAAGACACAAAGATCGCGGGAGCGTTAGGGGGTTGTTAACCCATACGTCACAGGGCGACAATCCGAAAAAAGTCGACGGCGTGCCCTGAGTTTGGCAAACTCAAAGCGGAGGCGTCGCTCCACACGTACGTCCACTTCCTTGTGGCTCAACAGCAAGTTATGCAGTGAGAAGGTTTTTGGTGCCGTTGCACCCATCACTCAAAGAGCGCTTCGTCATGTGTAGTGCTTTCGCCAGGGGTGAGCACTACAGGTATTGTCCGCATTGCGGGTACACGA